TTCTTAGCCATCAGCGAAATGCAAATCAAAACAACTCTGAGATTTCATCTTACACCATTCAGAATGGCTAACATCTAAAATACCAATGACAACTTATGCCGGAGAGGATGTAGAGTAAGAGGAACACTCCTTCACTGCTGGGGAGAGTACAAACTTCTACAGTCACTTTGGAAATCAGGATGGCATTCTCTCAGAAAGTTGGGAATCAACCTACCTCAAGACCCAGCAATACTACTTTTGGGCATATACCCAAAGGATGCAGACCTATACACAAGAACATTTGTTTAGCTATGTTCAGAGCAGCATCAATTTTAATAGCCAGAACATGGAAACAATCTAGATGCCTCTCAACCAAAGAATGGATGAAGAAAAGTGGTACATTTACACAACGGAGCACTACTCAGTGGTAAAAAACAACAACATATTGAAATTTGCAGGCAAAAGGATGGAACTAGACAAAAAAAATCCTGAGTGAGGTAACCCAGATACAGAAAGACAAACATGGTATATTCTTACTCATAGGTAGATATTAGACATAAAGCAAAGAATAATCAGCCTACAGTAAACAACCCCAGAGAAGACAGGAAACAAGGAGAACTCATCAAGACAGACAGACATGGATTCCCAAGAAGGGGAAGCAGACAAGACCTCCTTAGTAAATTGTCAGCATGTGGGGGCAGGGAAGGATGGTAGGGAAGTGGGGATGGGAGAAGGTGAGTGAGGAGAGCATAAGGGATGAGGAAGATCAAGTTGGGTGACGGACAGAGAGGGAGAGCCCATTCCCTATGGAGGGGATACCTTGCTCAGCCTAGATACAGAAGGGAGGGCCTTGATCCTGCCTCAAGTATCTCTGAGAAGTGAATGGAAGTTGGGGTGGGGAAAAAAATAGGAGGAGGAGGACAGAAGGGAGAGGGAACAGGCATTGGTAGGTAAAATAAGGTCATTCTAAAAATAAAAAAGAAGAAAAGTTACTGTGCTTTAAAAAAATACCTAGTTTCTTTTGTGTTTTAAAAATACCTTGTTTCTTTTGTTTTTGGTCTTTTGTTTGTTTTTTGAGACAGGGTTTCTCTGTATAGCCCTGGCTGTCCTGGAACATGCTCTATAGACCAGGCTGGCCTCAAACTTAGGGATTCACCTCCTCCTGCCTCCCAGAAGCAAGGCACGTGCCACCATTGCCTGGCTAAGAAATGCTTCATCTGAATAGATTTTAGTGCCATAAGCCAGTCTATAACACATAAACAGTATTTTTGAAGTGTGAGAAAATAGGAAGCAGCACAAAAGATAGGGTGTGGAGTCTACAGGACCCTGAGTGAACCACAATTTTTCAAATTCATCGTTTACTTTTTGACACAGTAAAAATACTTTCGCAAATCCTCCCAAAAGAACTGTTTACAGAGAAGCATGAAACCCAGACGCCACAATCAGTGGCAGAGTCAGTGGCAGAGAGTTTAGACAAGGACAGAAGAAATGTGTGTGGTTAGAGAGCAAAGTACACAGACTGTTGTGTACGAGGGCCGTTTCTCCTTCCCAGAGAAAGTCGGGCACCCGCGCCCCTTCGCTGGCAATCCCTAGATACACTCCTACCCCCACATCAGTTCATCTCGCAGTTCTGAAAAGGAGTACAAACCAATGACATCATAATCCAGGCGGATTGGATGAGGTATTATTCTCTAGTATTTTCCCACTCTACAGTGTAGGACCAGTAATTTGTTTCGCAAAACTCCAGTTTCTCCCTTTAGGAGATTACTCTGGCTGTACATAGGAGTGTCAGTCTCAGGAGTCAGGTCACAGTGGTGACCGTGAAGGAATTCTATTGTAAACAGCAGTTCCTAAATCTAACAATCTATCCCAAAGACAACGAGATTAACATCCTATACGTCGATCTCCCTCGCAAAACTCTCATTCCTTGGAAACTAGCAACTTTTAAGCTATCAACTTTAACAGTACTAGGACAAGTATAAGATACTGCAGGGGGCCAGACCTCCATTTGCTGCCGGCGTCCTGAAAAAACTGACAACAGCCGGGTAAGCGTGTGCCAGTTAATAACAGAACGCGACCATGGCTCATCTGGAATGTGTGCGCCCACCAGCACCTCCAAGTGCAGGCTCTCAGCAGACCCTGCCCGAGCAATCCTGCATTTTCCACACTTCCCAATTCCTTCCTCCACCGAGCCGGCCCTCATCACAGAAGCTCAGGGTGGACGCTAGTAGCCGGGCCCCCCGCCCCCTCACCGAGGGCCTCGGCCAGCACCACCCTTTCCCCCACATCCCCGCCAGGCGTCCGGACGCAGTGGCCCAGCCTCGGTCCTTCCCTCCCCCGCTGCCTCCGAGCCGGACCCGCCCACCCCGCACCGTCGCTCCGACCTGCGGAGGTGCGCGGCACCCTGGACCAACCTCCATGTCCGAGACGCAACCTGAGCGCCGAGCGGGTCCCGAGAATCGCCCAACTTTGCGAGGAGACGCGCTTACTGCAGACGCAATGCGGAAGTGACCGTTCCACAATGGCTCCCGGCGAAGCGGGACAGCGGAAGACTACGTTTCCCACAAGTCCGCGCGTCGGTCTTGGCGCCCGGAACCCAGGCTGCGGGTTTGCGTGTTTCCTTCCTTTCTTTTCTCTCTGCGAGTGAGAAGGGAAGAAAGCCAGAAGCTGCTGCGGTGGGTCAGCCACAGGGAGTCAGGTTGTTTTTAAAATCCTGGATTCACTGCAGGAGATGTTTGCCTGTGTGTCGAGCCTTTCACAGGAAGGCTTATTAGGTTTGCAACTGATGCTTGTCAGTATGTTGCGATTCAAAACTTACAAGTCGACTTATTATGGAATCTTACTTCCATGTATAAAGTTCACATTGACTCCATTTTACTTTAAAATAGCACAGCAAAAAAAAAAACTATATGGAAATGACCATCATTTCTTTAAGATGACTTCTGAAACCAGCCCTGTGTGCCCCCTCCCTCCCGAGCTTGCCCTGTGGTCGCGGCTGCTCAGGAGACAAAAGGACTCCAAATCAAAGGCTAACCTGGGCCAAGAGCAGAAAGAGTTAGGGAGCATGGGATGAAGGAGGCCTTGCGTATAAACACACTATGGTAAACAACCCTGTTTCTCTGTAGCAAAATAAACTGTGCCACAGCTGGAGGTGGGGTGCTGTGGGGCGTAGTGTAAACATTGGAATCCCTACAGTGTAGTTCATGGGTCAGGGGACACAAAGATGATTTAAAAATCATAGAACAAAGTTAAAAGTCCAGCTTTCTGGCGTTTAAATGAATTCTCCACCGAAGAATCTTTCCTTGTGTCCACAACCTCCATCACCACCACCACACCTCCCCCCTCTCCCAGTGTGCTGACCTTTGGCCCATCATCTTCTGTTGTAGAATTTATCTCTACAGTAGGTTTTATGTTTCTTCCGTTTTTTCCAACTGCTCTCATCCTGAAATTCTTCCTATGTGACAATATCTTAAAGGTCAAGGCTATCTGCCTTGAAATTCCGTCAGTTCCTTGGGACATAGAGATGATTCTTGAATACAAAGATAACTAAATTAAGTTTATAGTAATAGAAAAACGAACTCACCGGAAGAAAGCTAGATTTACACCATTGGGACCTCCTATGTCTTAAGAATATTTCTCTACTGATCATGTCTGAGACCAAAGTATAAACATTGCAGCAGGGAGGCAATCATGGTACTGGGGAAAATAGCTGAGAGTCCTACATCTTACAGGCAACAGGAAGTCAAATGACAGTCACACTGAGTGAAGCTCAAACAGACTTCAAAGCACACTCTCAGAGTGACCAGATAATCCAGCAAGGTCATATCTACTCCAATAAAGCCGCACCTCCTAATGGTACCACAGATTATAGGGCCCAATTACATTCAAACTACCACATTCCATTCCCTGGCCCCATAAGCTTCTAATAATATCATGATGCAAAAGAGAAACTCAAAGCAATCCCACAGAAATTAGGAACAAGACAAAGTTGTCTGTTCTGTCCATATCTATTCAACATAGTACTTGAGGTTCTAGCTAGGGCAATAAGACAATAAAAGAAGATTAAGGGGGATACAAATCAGAAAAGAAGTAGTAAAACTCTCAATTTTTCTGATCATATGATAGTTTAAATAAATGACCCCAAAAAGTCTACCAGGGAACTCCTACAACTCATAAACACTTTTAATATAGCAGGACACAAGATTACTAAAAAAAATAAGTAGCCCTCCTTTATACAGATGATAAACAGGCTGAGAAAGAAATTAGAGAAACATCACCCTTCACAATAGCCACAAATAACAGAAAATATCTTGGAGTAACTCTAACCAAACAAGTGGAAGTCATGTATGACAAGAACTTTAAATATATGAAGAAAGAAATTGAAGATGACACCAGAAAATGGAAAGATCTCCCATGCTCTTGGTTAGGTAGAATAAACACAATAAAATGGCAATCTTACCAAAAGCAATCTATAGATTCACTGAAATGCCCATCAAAATCCCAGAAAAAAAATTCTCCACAGACCTTGAAAGAACAATATTCAACTTCATTTGGAAAAACAAAAACCTGGATAGTCTAAGCAATCCTGTACAATAAAGGAATTTCTGGAGGCATCACCACCCCTAACTTCAAACTCTACTACAGAGCTACAGTAATGAAAACAGCCAGGTATTTGCATAAAAACAGAAGGACCAATGGAATCGAATCGAAGTCCCAAATATCAATCCACACACCTTGGAACACCTCATTTTTGACTAAGAAGCTAAAAATATAAAATGAAAAAAAGAAAGTCTATTTAACAAATGGTGTTGGCATAACTGGATATCAACATGTAGAAGAATGAACGAACATAGATTCATATCTATCATCATGCACAAAACTCAAATGGATCAAAGACCTCAACATCAAACCAACCACACTGAACCTCATAGAAGGAAAAGTGGGAAGTAGCCTTGAATGTTTTGGCACAGGAGACCACTTCCTAAATATAACCCCAGTAGCACAAACACTGAAAGAAACAATAAATGGGACCCGTGAAACTGAGAAGCTTCTGTAAAGCAAAGGACATGTCAACAAGACAAAATGAGATTCAGAATGTGAGCCGAACTTTGACAGTAGTTTATTAAGTTTTATAGTTACTCCGGTCACTTTTTTTTGTGTGTGTGTGTGTGATTATAAACCTCAGGTCTACTTAATATAGACCTGCTGGAGTAAGGAAAGTTCACATTGACTTAGGTTTACTGTAAAATAACAAAGGGAGAAGCTAATGCAGGACTGAGAGTAACTGTTTCACGTGAGTTTGAAACCAGTCTTTGTGCCCAGCCTGTCATCCCAGGTGCTCTAGATCTTAACGCAGAAGGAAGCCTTATCCATGGCTAACTCGGACCATTTACAGACACCTCATCTCTAAGTACAAACTACAAACAGGGATAACAGGGATAGATAGCTATCTTAGGGGTCAAGCGCTTGCCCAGAATGAGGGAGGCTTTGGCTTAGTCCTAACACTCAGATAAATAAACAATTTCTTCTGTATTGATGCACTGGGAACCATAAGCAGGTGAAACTCCATATCTGGAGATGCAGTTGTGTGTGTGTGTGTGTGTGTGTGTGTGTGTGTGTGTGTGTGTGTGTACATAGTAATCGTTCCAGGGTACGGTGTAGGTTAGCAGATGAAAGAAATTTCAGAATCACTGACCCACTGCAAAATTCTACAGGCAAAGAATTCCCAGAATCGACTGTGGTGTGGGAGGTCCTTCTGTCTATGTGTTGCTTTTGTTGGTTAATGAATAAAGAGCTGCTTTGAGCCTACAGCAGGGAAGAACAGAGCTAAGAGGAGGAAAGCTAGCTCTGTATGCTGGGAGTCAGAGAGAAGCCATGCGCCTCTGGGGACAGATGTTGGGAACTTTACCCGGAAAGCCACAGCCATGTGGTGATATATAGATTAAAAGAAACGGGTTAATATAAGAGTTAGCCAATAAGAAGCTAGTACTAACGGACCAAGTAGTGATTTAATCAATCACTGTGTGATTATGTCGGGGCTAAGCGGCAGGGAACCAACAAGCAGCCTCCCACTGCACCACTTAGCATCTTTCCGTATGTCCATAAGTGTCTTGTGCACACTTTTATCCATTAATTTGTGTAAGAAATTAAATCTTGTTAGAGTTGTGCTATAAATTGACACACCTTTCCCTGATTTTTTTTTTTACAAACTCAGGCAAGCTGAAAACCATCTGTTCCCTGAGCGCATGCTTTCCTCCCCTGCACCTCCTTCAAGAGGAGGGACACAGCGCCTGGGATCTCACCTGAGTATGCACTGACTCATGGTGTCTCACCAGAGTGTGCACTGACTCACGGTCCGTCGTGCATTGCAGTGCTTCCCTTGCCTTAGGCTTGATTAGTCTTTCTTCTTACTGATTTTGACATCTCTCCCATGTGGCAGTGTTTTCAAAGTCCAGAGTTTCTGTCTTGAGCTTCCCTCACTTTCCCCAAATCAGGAAGCAGAGATGATGCTTTAATGTGTAGAAGGACCATTAGAAATACATTTGTGGGAATTACAAATGGGCTCACTGAAATAAAGAAGCTACATAGACACATGTGACAATGGGATCCCATCTCTCTTCTCTGTAATGTTCATTTCTGAACTGGTCAAGCCAGAGACCAAAGTACAAACCTTTATAAAAGGAGGGGTACATTGTCATGTGATGGCCCATGGTTCTTCAGAAAGCTGTTTCTGAGCTGAGACAGAAGAAAGATCCCACTGCAATTTCAACCACTGTGAGGAATTCATGTCCTCTTTCTGGTTTTATTCTTCCTTGCAATGACCGAGCATGAGTTTCATTTACTACATCATAGCAACATCAATACCAGAATCTGTAATTAGGCAAAAGAGAATGAGTGATACAGATAATTAAATTTTATGGTAAATATTAACAGTCCTGACAGACTTTAGAACCATGCAATGTTTATGAATACTTCGTGTGCTCCTACAGGCCCACTCAAATGGAAAATCTGCAAACAGGTACTGTGTACCTGTCAATTTTATTTTAAAGTAATTTGAGAAATTAGTATAGCTTCTGAAAAATGACAGAAGTTTCACATCTCTGTCCAATGCTCAAAGAACATATTCCCTGAAGTAATGGTCATTAAGAGTCCAGCACACATGGAGTAGACACTGTACTCACAATAATGCTCGTGTTGATGCTCAAAGAGATAGAAGACATGTCACCCACAGGCAACTCACATTTGGTAAAAACTTGTTGTGTGACAATCTTTTGGGACTGTTAAAGTGTGTTGTTCTCATTGGTTCAGAAAAGAACTTAATGGCCAGTAGCTAGGCAGGAAGAGGTTAGGCAAGACTTCCAGACAGGGAAAGAGCTCTCTGAGATGAAGAAGGTGGAGACAACAGGAGATGCTGGGAGATGAACTTGCCATGCTGAAAAAGGTAATTTGCCATGCAGTAGTACATAAAAAATATGTGTCAATTTAAGTTAGAAGAATTGACAAGACTAAGCTATAAGCTGAGAATTTAAAATTAATAATAAGTCACTTGCTGTTACTGTGGAGTTGGCTGGTGGAACAGAATATTCCACCAACAAAGACTGGATTGAAGAATTCTGCAATAGAAAGTATTAAATGAAATTCCAATAATTTAAAATGTGTACAAATAAGTTTGAGAATCATAACTTATACCATTTGAGATAATCCCATATATTCCAAGCAGACTTCACACACTCTGTGAAGATGAGGATAATCTTGTTCTCCTAATTTTCTTGCTTGTGCCTCCTGAGTGCTAGGATTATGAGCCCAAACCATTTTACCTGGATAGCCTTTGTTACTGGTTTTGTTGGTTGAGTAAGGTATCTATTAGTAAGCTGTTTCTAGAGGAACACAACCAATGATGTGAATATATAATCAATATATTTTATATATCATATATTTAATATATTAATATAAATTAATAATATAAACAATTTATATATTTACTCATAAGTAAAATAGAATCCAAATAGAAAATCCCACAGAGTGTTTCATAACTTGAAGGATTAAAAGATTCCAGTACATATCTAATGTGAGATGCAAGAAAAACTCTTACTCATAAGCTCCTGCAATCTAAAAACCAAGTGACTACTTCCACCACACACTGACACAGAACAAACATGCTATTCAGAGTCAGAATAATTAGAACACAGTACAGAAGGATTAGCCCAAAATCGAGAAGAACAAATACACAATCAGATGGCTCCACTTTTTGGGACTTTGGCAGCACTGGTGTTGATCTCAAAGGACTTAATGTGGCCCCACCCTTCCAGCTTCACCAGGAAGACATATAACCTATCTCCTATGCATGCTCCTCACTGCTTGTAGGTTTCTTTAGCAGATCCTGGAATTCCCTTCATCATATAACTGGCTCCCCCAATATCTTGGTCAACGTAATAATTTTGTTTATATAAGAAAAGGATTACCACAGTCTTGAGTAAACTGCATGATTATGGCATCCATTACTTGTATTTTTTCCCCAGCAATCAAACAATGATGTCACAATAATCCGAAGCAATACCTCTCAATTTTCAACACTCCATATTAACAGGATTTCTCTTATATACTAATTTCCTTCTATTGATTGTTATCTAAGGGAGGATGAAATACTTTGCTATATTCTTTGCCTACATAAATGTTTTCTGATATAACCTCATTTAGTCTTATAAAGTGTGTATGTTGGACAAAATTAAAAGTTATTGCTGGAGTTATTTGTACAAGGTTTTTACATAATATGAATTCACTTGTGGTTAACAAAAATTGAGTTTAAACTGAACGTGTTCCACATGATTTGTATCTGTAGGTTTTCTCAACAAAAAATTCTTAATATGAAGGTGTGTCAAATAACCTTTTGTTGGAGTTTACAGTAGTTTCTCTTAAATATGATTTTCTCATGACTAATTTCATTTTCTCATGGTTCATCTATTTACAGTTTCATTTGCTTTCACAGGATTCCTCTACACCATGGTGTTCAACTGACAATAAAAAAATCAAGAAGCACTTTACCATATCCTTTGTAACAGCGGAGCTTTATCCAATGCGAATGCTCTAATGTAGAGTTCAGGTTGAACAAACCTCAGAGCCATGTGACATTGTCTCAAGGAAAGAGGCTCTGATGATAACTATGGCATAAAGAAGAGTGGAAAACCTTGCCACATTCTTTACTCAGTGCGGTTTCTGTTGTTGCGATAAAAGCCATGATGAGCACCTGCACAGGAGAGAAAGGGAGTGATGTGGATTGCACTTCAGCATTCCTTGAAGTCAGGGCAGAGAAACACAGCTGAAATCTGGGGCAGCAGATTTCAGAAAAAACAGAAACCATGGTAGAATGCTGTTTGCTGTAATCTCTCTGACTTGGGTTCAGTCAGCGATCTCATGCACCTGGGACCATCTGGGACCACCTGGGACCACCTGTCCAGGAGTGGCTCTCCAAGGAGCACTGGCATCACCTTGTGGTCTAGATTCGTGTACATTGTTAGTATTCATGGTAATGCCCCACAGACACGCCCATGGGTCAATGAGTTTCAGTCATGTACCTACTTGAGACAATATCACATGTTGTTTATCTGTGTAAACTTTATCAGAAGCAAAATAGGATATAAGTACCTGCAAAGCTTCTTATCAACAAATATTTCTGGTGGTGATAAAGATTAGAAATATTATTGAAGACAATCTGCATTATTTGGGTGTATCAAATTTCTCACTCAAGACATTTTGAAGAACACTTTTGATGTGACAACCAGGTGAAGGTCTTGCCACAGTCTTAGCATTTATAGTGCACTTTACCAATAGGAATCCTATGATGTGAGTAGAGACATGAAGACCATCTAAACAACTGGTCATACACTGTATTTGCAGAGACTCATGTGTGACTTCGTGATGTACAATACGGAACGAATGATAAATAAAACCATTTGAACACTAGTCACATTTGTGTCATGGTTGCTCAGTATGAGTGCTTTCCTTTTGTTTAAGGTTTGAGGAACTTTTAAAGGCATCTCATACTCTCCACAGCCGTGATGTTTCTCTCCAGCACGAATTCTACTGAGGGCCATGATGATGAATGAAAACATTCTATATTCTGTATATGTGTATGGCTGGCCTCTACAACTTATTCTTTTGTGTGGGCAAGGTCTGAATGATTTCAAAGACCTTCCCACATTTCCCACACATAGAGGGCTTCTATTCAAAATGAAAAATTTTGATATCTTTTATGATATCAAGAAGTAAAAATATTTCGTGAACATTTTAAGACTTGTACTATTTCTCCTCAGTATGAACTACCATGTGTTGAGAAATATTGGTCAACCTCCTAAAGGGTTCGTAACATTTTTCTCACTTGTGGCATTAATGTCCGGTAAGAATTATCAGGTATTTTGAAAGTTCTTAGTGAGTACAGACTATCTCGGCATGTTCTTCACACTTGTGTGGTTTTTCTCACAAATGAATTCTTCCATGTTGCTTGAGACCAGAAGACTGGTAGTAGCTTTTTGCCACAATCTTCACTCTTGTAGCGTTTCTCTCCAGTATGAATTATCTGATGTTTAGAACGTGCTGTAGAACTTCTAAAATCTTTGCCACATTCTTTACACCTGTAAGGTTTCTCTCCAGAATGAATTCTTTGATGATCCATAAAGTTTTTTGTATTTTTTAGCACTTTGTCACATACTGTACATTTGTAAGGGTTCTCTGCATCGTGAGTTAATTTGTGCTGACGTAAGTATGATTTTGTAGAAAAAGCTTTTCCACATTCTTCACACTTGTGAGGTTTCTCTCCAGAATGCATTATCAAGTGAGTAGAAAGAATCCGGGAAGTCCTAAAAGCTGTGCCACATACTTCACACTGGTAGGGTTTCTCTCCTGTGTGAATTCTCTTGTGTTTAGAAAGTAATGAGGGAGAATGGAAAGCCTTGGCGCATACTTCACACTTGTAGAGTTTTTCTCCATTATGAATTCTCTTGTGTTTATAAAGTAATGATGGGCAGCGGAAGGCCTTGCCACATACTTCACATTTGTATGGTTTTTCTCCTGTATGAATTCTTTTGTGTACAGAAAGTACTGATGGAGCACGGAAGGCCTTGCCACATACTTCACACGTATATGTTTTCTCTCCTGTATGAACTCTCTTGTGTTTAGAAAGTAATGATGGACAATGGAAATCCTTCTCACATACTTCACACTGGTAGGGTTTCTCTCCAGTATGAATTCTCTTGTGTTCAGAAAGTAATGATGGAAACCGGAAGGCATTTCCACAAACATCACACTTGTATGGTTTTTCTCCTGTATGAATTCTCTTATGCTTAGAAAGTATTGAAGGATAATGGAAGGCCTTGTCACATACTTCACACTTGTAGGGTTTTTCTCCAGTATGGATTACTTTGTGCTTAGAAAGTAATGATGGAACACGGAAGGCCTTGCCACATACTTCACACTTATAGGGTTTCTCTGCTGTATGAATTCTCTTGTGTACAGAAAGTAATGATGGAGCATGGAAGACCTTACTACATGTTTCACACTTGTAGGGTTTCTCTCCTGTATGAATTCTCTTGTGTTCAGAAAGTAATGATGAAAACCGGAAGGCCTTGTCACATACTTCACACTTGTAGGGTTTCTGTGCTGTATAAATTTTCTTGTGTTCTGAAAGTACAGTTGAAAAATGAAAGGCCTTACCATTTACTTGACAACTGAAGTGTTTCTCCTTTGCATGAATTCTCCTGTGTTTATTAAGTAATAATGGACCATGGAAGGCCTTAGCACATAGTTCACACTTGTATGGTTTCTCTCCTATATGAACTCTCTTGTGTTCCCTTAGTAATGATGGAACACGAAAGGCTTTATCACATTCTTCACACTTGTAGGATTTCACTCTTAAATGAATTCTCTGATGCTTACTAAATTTTGATTTCCAATCAAAGGATTTGCCACACTCTGCATGTATAACATTTTTTTCCTGGTGAGTAAAAGTTGAGAAATAAATGAGAGAAACATCCTTTATATTTACAGTGCTCATTTAAAAGCATAGAAATATTTATTCACACTTGCATTATCCTGAATAAATAATAAGCTATAATCAACTTTCTATACCTGTTTTTAACAGAGTCTAATTTATAACATATGATAGCTATAAATCATGTAACCTTCCATTGAAGAAAGAAGATCATGACAACATATCACATGGAAACAAAGGAATATTAATGGAAGTCAATCATGTAAGGAAGGCATATAATCAGTAATTTAAAAAATCTTAAAAGCTTTATTTATTAAAATACAAATGAAATGTCACTAAATTTCCCCCTTTTGTCTAATTATCCTAATGGAAATCAGTCCCTTAAACAAATATAGAAATCTTATGACTACATAAAAACAAAGTAGTTAAGCTTTGAAAATACCTAAATATACTCTCTCTTTTTCGTGTGTGTGTACTTTTAATATATAGAGATTTGGTTTTTGAAGTTGTCAAAGTTAAGTTGCAGAAGAAGCCTGTCCATAATAACAGTAAAAAATACACGTCAAGGATTCAAGACAGAAGTTTTGTGCATATCTGATGAAGACAATACATATCCCAGTTAAATTCTTTTAGAAATGGCAGAGTTTGACTGTCACTGGAACACAAGCTAATCTCATGGCAGGGGAAAATAAAGGTTATGAGACTCAGATCATCCGAAACATCTGACAGATATCACCATTTGACAGAAGAGATCCTTAAAAGTGATTTCCACCAGAACATTTTGTATTAATGCTCAAGAGAAAGTCTCATGTTCTATTGGATCTCTGAACTTCCACTCTGACCCCTCATTTCTATACCTGCTTGCATGGCAGGTACTGCTGCTTGTTTCTTCACATCAGAAGGTTCTGGTCGTTGCTCCAGAAATGTTACCAGGTATGGCTTACAGGAAGCAAGACCTGTTTTTGAGAAAAGGGAACATCATTGTTAGTGGGTTCTCCTGGCGATAACATGTCCTCTCTAGAACTATGTATAAGAAATGAGAAAATATAATCAAGGATTATAAAGAATTATTTTTTTCATGAGTTTCCTCATGGTCACATTAGAATTGCTTAGGAGAGATTTAGGGTTTGCAAGTACTGAGCTTCATGTCCCTCAGTTACAAGGAAAAGTAATAAAGCTGAAGTGTGTGACAGACTCTTTAACATGCACCACCCCTGCTCATGCTACTGACTTACTAATAATAGCATTAATATGAAGAATACATGTAAAAGGTGGAGGGGCACTATGAACACAAGGAGAAATGAAATAGTTCTAAGGTATATGAATAATCTTAATTTCCCTTAGAGTAGCGCTATGAACTTCATCGTTGGAATCACTAGCTCCCATGAGATATATGTACAAAGGGAGGTGATCTCATGCTGAAGACACCATGGAAATGATCCTCACCCAAGAACACAAGGTTGTTGTAATTCTCCAAAATCACATCCTTGTACAATTTCCATTGAGTAGGGCCCAGGCATTCCCATTCCTCTGCAGAGAAATAAATGACCACATCCCAGAATGACAGCATTTCCTGAAATGAAGTAAAAGTAAAAAAATGCATATTGTGTTGATTAAAATTATCAGTAAGAGTATAAATAACAAAAGGCATCATATGCTTATGATACAAATCTAATGGTAATCTAGAGTGAGAGGAGAGACAGAAGTACTTAGTACATAGTACACAGAGATGGTTGTACTATGATGTTACACAGGACTCATTATTAAGAAAAGTGGACAGCAGAACAACCTAGAAACTCCCATGAATATTACACTTTTAAGAATCATAAAATGGAAAAATAATATATCTATAAAACAGTATGTTGTGGCTAGAGAGATGGCTCAGCAATTTCCAGGACTGGCGGATCCTCCAAAGGAAGATTTGGGTTTGATTATCAAAAGCCACATGGCTGCTCACAACTGTCTGTAACTCCTATTCTAAAAGATCAGATAAAGTCTTATAGATGTAAATAGCGAATCAACTATACAGATATGCCGTAGTTAGGGTTTCTATTCCAGCAATGAAACTCCATGACTAATAATCAAATTTTGGAGGAAAGGGTTTATTGGATTTACACTTCCACAGCCCTATTCATCAGTAAAGGAAGTATGGACAGGAATTCAAACAGGACAGAACCTGGAGGCAGGAGCTGATGCCAAGGTCGTGGAGGTGTCCTGTTTACTGGATTGTTTTACATCATTGTAAAAAATATAATCCAAGGTTACTAGTCAAGGGTAGCACCTTCTAGAAGAGACTGTGTCATGCTGTACTGGTCTCTAATTAAGAAAATGACATACAGGCTGGCCCACAGTCCAATTTTATGGATGTATTTCCTAAGTTGACATTTCTGCACTCACATGACTATAGTTTATTTAAATTTCCTATGAATCTAGACAGCACAACAAAAATTAGTAAATTTTTGAAAAAATGTCTTTAGAGTCCCCTGTCTGTATAATATACCATACATTATGTACATTTCTCATGGTAGAGAGCCATGGTGATGGTGAAGATACTTCTCAACATACTATACACAATCCTGAATTAGAAATACAATGAAGATGCAGATCTGATGCAGCACCTCTGGGATGAGGTCTGGGATCCTGAGCATGTAGGGAATAATGCAAAGGGACAGAGAACCAAGGGACAGAAGTTCAATCAGACTAGGGGTATAGTACAGACAAGATAGAATAACAAGTATTGTAATAAATTTATAAATAAGTTTATCCACTTTGAGGATTTACGCTGACTCAAGATTTTGCCAGAGGCCTTCATGAAAGGCCAATGGTAACATTACTCTTCTGTCCCATACAGTAGTGTATTTAGTGTTGTGGCCCAAAAATGTAATCCTATTTCAACCTTGACCAAAGGTCCGAGAGTTGGAACTTACCTCTCTTCCTTCAAGGATATTGTCTGTTTCTACCTCAAACAAAAGTCCCGCATAGAAATAGGTCAGAGAGTTCTGCTCTCTCAAGATTATTGTCAACAGGCTAATATCCAGACCTTGTATTTCAGGAATAGAGAAGTAGATGTTTCTTCCTCAAACAAAAGTCTAAGGATCCAAATAAGGTTCCAGTTCCTTTAAGGCAATATTGGATTGGTAGATATTTAAGTATGTAGTCCACGACCCTCAACCAGTCTGTTATTTCCTTGTGTTATGTTAAGGTTAATGTGCATATATATTGTTTACATTTCAAGGTCATTGTCTTCATTTGCTGTACATCTGTTTAAAGATTGTATACTTTAATAATGTGAGGCCTTAGTCTTCAAGTTATATAGGTATTTAGAATTACAGGTCAATAGTTCTCCATGTTTGTCATACTTATAGTTGGAGTAGTCAGGTTCTCCAGAGGCACAGAAACTGTACTCCACATAGATAGGTAATCTTCAAACACATAAAAGAACTGTAGAATATGGCATTTAAATAACTCAGGATTCTGTTGACGTGAGACATGATTGCTCCTGGCAGTACTGATCTATCCACAAGAGACTATTGGGCACTGGACACACTCCCCTTGGGGCTTGTTTTCTTCATGGCAAACTGGTCTTTGGGCAGAGAACTGCCCTTGCCTTAACTACTGACAATATGCACACTGTGCAAACTGGACAAGGAGAATACAAGCAAAAATGACTGTTAAACTTTGCCAAGATGGGGTAGGACAGGCTTGAATTTTCTGCCTCAGAAAATGGCCTGTCAGATACTTTAGGCCTTATCCAACATTGTTTGCCCCAACACTGCAAATGAGACTTTGGGTGATTGCCCAGGTAGTCAAATGTCTCTGTCATTTTTTGTACCTTTTTGGAAGTTGCATGCTTGCACTTCCTGCTTACTCAGGTAATATTATTTTTCCTTCTCAGGTCTTTGATGCTGTTGAAGACTAGATAGTCATAGCTACTTTCATCTTATGACTTAGCTAAGACATTTTTAGTATAAGACTTAGGCTCCAGGATAGGACAACCATTGAAATAATCTCTGTTATTTGTTAACTACCTTAGACTGGACATTTTGCATATGTTTCTGGCGTGATGTTGTTCATGTTGTTTGTAGTTCCATTTTGCAGCTGTTATACCTTTTCTTTATCCTGGACAATACTATATATTTGTTCTTATTGCATATAGTTTTGTAAATAGGTTTAGAACCTTTTTATTTAGACAAAAGAGAGGTGTTGTGGGAATTCATTCACCCAACAGTCTTGTGTGTACTGGTCCATTAGGGCACAGTCTGACGTACTACATGTGAGTTGACAAGCACAGATGAGAAGCAGGCTCGCTCCTTTTGGTTGGTGGTGTGGATTCTGTTCGCAGCTCCCAGCACCCACACAGCAGAAGACCACAGTGGTTTTCCTATTTTGAGTTTCCCCCATACAAATATTTGTTACCCTTTATTGCAGGCACTTGTGAACTTCCTTAATTATACCTACAATGCAGTTAACTCTTCTCCCAAAGCTGATGCTATCAGTCCTATGGCCACTATTTCTGACATATTCCATGTTCTCATAATCAACATTGTGTGATTTAAGTCTTTGCTGACCTTGGCCATTTTCCACCTGCTAACAGGATGCAGCATGCTGTACTTCTTAAATTCCCTTGCCTTTGAGTCATCAGTTTATACAAGACTGCCTGATTCTAGCTATTGCTTTTGTCTCTTTCCTTTTTCATTCCTCATTCCTGATACTTTCCTTTCACACCTAGCCATTTAAGAATTTTATTCCTTTAGTTTCAGGTCAGCCATAGTACCTTACCATTCCTTCCTGTTATCTAACTGAACAAGAACATCCACAGATCAATGATTCTCCAGGTTTCCTCTTCCTGATGTCACCAGCCAGTGGGATGAAAACCACATCTTTCGCTTCATTTAAAATTCTTTAGATTCAACATCTGACTGACAAATTTCTGAGACAGCATAGAGAGAAAGAAGGCAGAAAATAGATTTCAATAGATAGGACAGTTTATTAGCTTGCACACTGAGGAGCAGTCTCAATCCTGTGGGAAATTGAGAGGTCTACCAGGGAAAAGATGACTATAACCCCTTTTTTGGGGTGGAATGAGAAGCCAGGGAATGAGGAAACTGTTACAACATGAAGCCCACCTTTCTCTCCTTCATCACATTGTTTTCCAAAGTTGAGACAGGCTGACCAAACAGACATTCTTTTCTAGGATGACTGAGAAGGCTAAGCACTGTATGAGACTACACCTGTAGTTTCATGGGAATCCTATTTCACCTCCGAGTATAGCTGGTCAGTCCTGGTGATCAGAGCTAGAAGTGCTTCTGATATAGGTATGTAAGTCTGACAGCACAAGATGTACAGTCACATGTCATGTGGGGTTTGTCTTTTTATGCCAGAAATGATAATGTTCTTTCTCACCAGATAGAGTCTTGGTTGTAAAAAATAGAATTCTTATGTGACTATAGCTGACCTTCCTCCAAATTATTTGTCAGTTACAACCTAGAGGAGAATATTTTGGGGATAGCTTGTCTCCTAAGCTAATCTTCTTGGCTTAAGCAAACAATATCAAGAAAGAGAGATTGCAGATCTGCAGGGGCCCCCTAGAGCAGCATCAACATCTTCATTCCCAAGCCTCTCACCTGCCTCAATAAAAGGTCCCAACAAGCTCTCTACCCCTCACTCAACTCCCCTATACGTCGAGGAGAGTTGGTGCTCCTCCCTGCGAATACTAATTAACAGTCTCATCTGGTGTTGTTAGTCTCCATCTTGCCTTTGTCTCTTTGCTGTGTACTCAGAAAGCTAACATCCATATTGTCACAGATTGTAAGAAGCATGTTGTCAGCTATTCATCAACACCATTAGCACCATTTAAGTGTTTTGTGATGTGGCCTCTTAAAAGAGCTGCAAGGATGTCCCAGCTAAAGCTGAGTCAGGAAGCCTCTCTTCAATGAGACACACTTGCCTCTAGCAAACAGAGCCCACCCAAGAAAATGCTGCTACCAAGAAGCCATGCTTAACTCCATTCTTTTGTACCTAGAATTACTTCTCAAGATCTCTCACGTTTTATGTGGATGTAATTGCCTTATTGTAGTTGGCACCATTCTATACATGGAGACTGCTTGTTTATTTCCAAGCCATCCAGACCTGAAATAATCACACAGAAACTATATTAATTATAATGCTGCTTGGCCAGTAGCCAGGCAGGAAGTATAGGTGGGGCAACCAGAACAGGAGAATTCTGGGAAGAGGAATGGCTCAGTCTGTGCTCATAACCCAGTCCCAGAGAAAGCAAGATGAGACTGCTTCACTGATAAAAGGTACCACGCCATGTGGCTAACATAGACAAGAATTATGTTAACTTAAGATGTAAGAGTTAGTTAATAAGAAACCTGAGATAATAGGACAAGCAGTGTTGCAATTAATATAGCTTCTCTGTGGTTATTTCAGGTCTGGGTGGACGGGAACAAACAAGCAGCTTCTACCGACAGCAAAGGACCATATTTCATCCTTTTATGTGGTGAATAGTATCCCACATTAAACACATGTACTGCATTTCCCTGATTATTTTACTTTTAGGAAATTGTTAAA